CTGAGCCAAAGGCAGACGCTCAACCAATGGACGCACCGAGGCGCCCTGAACAGTTTTAAATCTTAAGAAAAGTGAAGATCGTGTAGAGTGGTCCCAAATTCCTGCGCTTGACCCCCTATTAACATCTTCCATGAATATGCTACACGCGCCACGCTGAGTGAAGCAACACGGATACATTTTTATTAACTCAGTCCGTTCTTTATTCAGATTTCCTTAGGTTTTCCTTGGTTTCCTTCTTCTGCCCCAAGAGCTCATGGAGGGTATCGCATGTTTCAGGAGTCATGTCTCCTTAGGCTCCTCTTGGCGGTGGTATCTTCTCACCCATCCCTTGTGTTTCACGGCCTGGGCATTTGTGAGGAGTGCTGCTGTCAGTTATTTTGTAGAACATCCCTCAACTGGGGTGAGTCTGATGTTTTCCTCATGGTTAGATTGGGGTCATGGCTTGGGAGAAGCAGCGGAGCCCACGAGCAGGTCTCATCGCATCCCGCCGAGGACACCCAGTGTCCAGGCCGGCCCGGCTGTGAGGTTGGCCTGGAGCTCCTGGAGCCGGGGTCTTGTCACCTTTCTCCACCAGAAGCTGCTCTCTTGGCCCCGTTTCCATCCTGTGGATCCTGCATGGCCGGTTTCTCTCCTCCGTCCTTGGTTTATCGCTGTGGGCTGATGGGTATTGGGTCTGTCCTTGGGTCCTAGGGCGCAGGGGGCTTGCTGTGCGCCCCCTGCCGCGCCCCCTCCGCCGCGTCCTTGAGGGTTTGCGTCTGTCCCTCAGCACCTCCTTGCTCCCAGGCTCATCTTGCGTGTTTCCTGCCCCAGTCAGAGGCGAATCTCTCTTTTTTTTTTTTTTGGTCACAGGTGAATCTTGATGATCTATTTAATTTTACTTCTGCTCCGAGTGTGAAGAATTGGCTGCGGGAGAGGGAAGCGGACAGGCCATCCGTGGGCTGAGGTTCCAGCAGGCGCAGGCCCGGGCCGGGCCGGGCGAGGGCGAGGGCGGAGCGGGGGCGGCGGGTGGGCCCGGCCTGGGCCCCGCGGGCGTCGGAAGCGCAGTTCCGGGCGACGGGCCTAGGGTGTGCGGCTCCCGCATCCCGGAGCATCAGGGTCCGGCCCGCGGCGCCCACGGGACCTCGGCGGCTCTGCGGGCGGCTGTGCGGGCGGCGGGGAGCGGGAGGGCCGCAGCGGAGCCGAGACCCCGCGCCCCGGGTCGCCCGAGCCTCGGGCCGCAGAGGGCCGGGCCCCGCAGCTGGGGCCGCAGGTGCACGACCTCGCCTCGGCCCCGCTCGGAGCCCGCCGCCCCCCCCCACCCCCCCCTGCGGCGCACAGACCCCGCCGGGCGCCCCCGGGTGACCCGGGACCCAGGGCGGCTGCCCCCGCCGCGGCCGCGTCTCCTCGGCCCTGATTGGCCGGCCGCCCGCCACGTGACCGGCTGCCCGGGGGCGGCGCGACCCGGCGCGCGCTTATTGGGTGAGGCCGGGCCGGGGGCGGGGGCGGGGCCGGGGGCGGGGGCGGGGCCGGGGCGGGCGGGCGGACTGCGGCTCCCGGACTCCCGGTCCCCCCTCGAGAGGCCGCCGCCCGCCCTGGGGCCCCTCCGTCCCGAGCGCCGCGCACACGCGTGGCCGACACGACCCCGGCCTCGCGACAGCCCGGAGACCAGCCCGCCCCCAGGCTCGGCCGCGGGCCCGCGCCACCCCTGCCCCGGGCCACCCCGGCGCCGCCCCAGCCCAGGCCCTCCCCTGCCCCGCCCCAGCGTCGCCCCGGGCCCAGCCCCCCAGTCCCGCCCTAGCCCCGCCCCCACCCCCACCCCCACCCTCGCCCAGACCAGACCGCCTCCCCCGCTTGGCCCCCGGCCCCAGCATCGCCCCAGCCCAGACTCCCTCCGCCCCGCCCTGGCCCCAGCATCGCCCCAGCCCGGCCCCCCTCGCCCAGCCCCCAGCGCCTCCGAGCCAGGCTCCCTGGGAGGGACAGGACCCTCCTCCGCCTGGACCCGAGGGGACCCGCCGAGGCGGGAGTGCAGGCCAGGCCGGGCCGGGCCACACTGCGACAGGTGGCGCAGGCTCAGGAGCTGGCTCGCTGCGGATCAGCTGAACCAGACAAAACGGTCCCTAATTGGCGGCCGCGTAAACTGTGTCCCGCCAGCGCGGGGGCTAAGCGGCTTGGGCGTCCGGCAGCTCCCACCGCGGCGCAGAGGAGGGGGCGTCCTCTGGCTGCCGCAGGAGCTCGGCGGGAGCACGGAGAGCTCGTCGCGAGCTGGCCCGCCCGCAGGATGCACCGGGCAGGGGCGCTCGGCCTCCTCCGGGGTTCCACATCCGCAAGGAGGCTCGTGGAGGAGTCCGTGTGGACCTAGCCAAGCGCCCAGGGCGGGCCACGGTCTGCGCTCCGAGGGCCCAGGGCCCGGCTGTTCCCGTCGGGGTCCCCCAGGACCCGTCTGTCCCGGGGGCGTCTCTGCACCTGCTCAGAGGGCAAGGCCTGGGGCTCACCACCCTCTCAGCCCCCTTCCCCCTCAGTCTCCCGCACTTGGTCCTGTTTGGCCACCATGTCCTCCCCTGAGAAACCTGCCGGAGGAAGGGAGCTGCGCCACCCCGTGCCCAGAGCAGAGCGCCCGCAGCAGGCCTCTGGGCGTCGCGCCAGCAGACACCAGCCCCAGGAAGCACCGGCCGCAGCAAGGCGTCTAGGCTGCTGCCCAGGACCCCTGCCAGGCCGTGCTGGGGGAGGAGAGGCTGCTGGGCGCGGGGGGGGGGGGGGGGGTGTGGAGTTGGGGGGGATGGTGTTATCTAGGAGGGGCCACCCTGGGGGAGGCAGGCAAACCCCAAGCACAGAGTTGGCACAGAGACTTCCATCAGTGTTCTGGATCCAGGGAGGGAGGAGGGACAGCTGCTCCCTCCCCAGGGGGCAAAAGACGCCTGGGGTGGTCCTTGGGGCTGGGGGCCAAGCTGTCCCCTGAGGCAGGTCCTCCGTCCCCTTCCTGACACCAGGCAGCCTGAGGTGGAGTAAGGGAGTGACGGCTCCGGAGCGGCCTCCAGGGCACAGCTGTCGGCACAGGGGTGCAGGGGGCAGGGCTAGGCCAGTGCGGCCTCTCTGGGGGCCCAGGCAGGGCAGGCTCCCTGACAGCACTTCCGGGCAGCAGTGTAGGGAGACCACAGGGACCCCGCCTTGCTCCCTGGAGAGAGGCCCCCAGAAGTGGAGCTCAGACGAGTCTCTGGGGATCCAAGGAACCAGGCACCTCGGGTGGGCTTTGGGCATGGGGACCACACGGGAGGGGGCCCTGAGGGGGCGAGCAAGGCTGCGCTGGGCCAGCGGCCCCTCCTCCCACCAGCCGGGGTGGGCAGGCTGCCCTAGGGGGTGGCGGCCAGAGCTCCAGCAGCACAGGGAGGGCTCCCTAAGGACGCAGGACAGACTAGGGCAGGCCCTCGGGACTGGGGCCGGCACAGTGGGACCTGGGGGGAGAGGAGGCTGGCCCCCCAAAGGGGCTGGTCTGCCCTTGGACCATTGCCCTGGGGCTGCCTTGGAGAGAAGGGGGGTCAGGGCCGGGGAGCCCAGGTCCGAAGGGGCCCGCCCCCCTCGCCCCAGGACCCCGTGCCCTCTGGCTGCCCGGGCGGGGTCGCGACCCCGGAGAGAAGAGCACACGGGGTGAAATCACTGGTGTTTATTGGCTGTGATTCCATCAAGACTACACACGCGGCGGCCCCCCACATGCAGGAGGAGGCCAGGCGCGATGACGGAGGACACGACACCCACAGTCTAACTAAGCTCGGCTGCTCTGGGCGCCCCGCGCTGGGAACGGGACGCGGGCTTGGTACGAGCCCGCCCTGTGGGCTCCGAGCTGCCTTCGTGAAGTGTGAAAACAGCCGTTTAGAACAGACGTGGGACCGGGAGGAGTCAGGGGCGCGGGCGCAGCGAGGCGGCGGGGCGCGGGGGGCGCCCTCGCGGCCCGGGGCAGGGGGTGCGCGGTAGTATTGCGGTCTATCGTTATGGCTTGTCTAAGAGCGACGGGGGGCCACGCCCAGGCCCGCGACACGATGACGTTGCGATGTGGACAGAAAGGGCCCCGGGCACCGAGGCTGCGGCCTTTTTGTGATGATAAAACCCCCAAACACGTAAGACCTCGTTTACCTGAGATTCAACACATCGTGATGCAGAGGAAAACAAGGGTGGAGACACGGGGTTCGGGAGGCCCGCGGTGGTCCCGGGCAGGTCCGCCCCCCGACGCGCAGCAGGCTTCCGAGGGCGCGGAGTCTCCTCCCGGCTCTCCTCGGGGGTGTGGGGGTGCAGGGGCTGTGCCAGGGGACCCCCACCCAGAGCAGCCTCCGATGGGAAGGCCGGAGGCGCCAAGCAGGGAGGGAGTGGGCTGCGCCCACGGACTCAGGGGCAGCGAGTTCTGGGGGCGAGGGCTGTGCTCCCACCCGGGGCGGGGGGATGACCCCCGGGCCTATTGCTGTGTTTCCCTTAGTCTGCAAGACGACCGCGTCCTGGTGTGGGCCAGAAGCAAAGCCTTCCAGGGCAGTGGGCCAGGCAGGGACAGAGGACGGGGAGAGACAGATGGACAATGAGCGTGAGGGGTGTGGGTGGAGGTGGGCGGCCGCAGGCGGGAGGACCCCAAGATCCCGCAACCAGCTGTCACGGCGGAGGTGGGGGCTCCCACCCGCGCCCCCAAGGAGGCTGCTGCTCCCAGCCCGCGCCGCCTTCCCCCCACTATGGCTGTGCTCCTGAGTTTGGGGCGGATGAGCGCCCACCAGCGCGGGGACGGCACACCGAGGGGCGGTCGAGATGCCCGCCTGGTCGGTGCCCGGACCTCGGGCACTGCTGGGTGGAGGGGAAGGGCGGGGGCAGTCAGGGCCGTCCCAGTTCGGGGGGCCCACCCAGAGGAGCACGTGGGCGGGCCCGGGCTGCAGCACAGACCGCAGGGGCCCTGGGGGCGGGCGCCCCTGCCCCGGTGTTGGTGGCGATGGCAGTGCGGGGGTGGGGGGGTGGCGCAGGCTCCTGAGGCATGAGCGGGCGTGGGGCGGGCAGATCTAGGACTATGGCTTATAGTGGCGCTGGGGGGCTGCACTCTGCTCCCGACGTCCCTTCAGGGGCCTCGCGGAGGTACAGGGGAAGGTAGGCGAGGGCGCGAAGGGGGGCTCCGGGCGCGGCGGGGGCTGGCGGCGCCCGCTTACTTCTTGAACATGTCCTGCAGCGGCCCGGGCAGGTACTTGATGACGGTGTCCAGGATGCTCTCGTCCTCCTCCTCGGGCTCGTCCCCGCAGCCCGGCGGGATGGCCTTCTTGGGCCTGGTCAGGCTGCCCTCTGAATTGGCCTCCATGGCGGCCTGGGCCTCGGCCTCACGCTCCTCCTTCTTCTTGATGCCGTACTGGGGGGGGGGCAGGGAGGGGGGTCAGCCCGGGAGCAGGTCTCCCAACCCCAGGTCTGGCTGGGGCCACAGTCCCCGGGAGGGCTGGACCCTTCCTGCGCCTCGGGATCCCCCCAAGAGGTGGTGCCCGTGGCCAAGAAAGGGCCGCGCCGACTGCCGCCAAGACCCCGGAGGACAAAAGCCCCACCCAGGAGGGTGCCTGGGGGGGCAGGGGGACCCCGCCAAGAGTGCAGGGGCGACAGCAGAAGCTGGAGCCAGGGGGGGTGGGGAGCACGTTGAGAGCTGAGCAGAGAGGAAGGTGGGTCCCTACTGGCACCAAAGCTGCGGCCCCGCCCCAACCTGGCCCCCCCACGCAGCCACCCTGCGTGCCCTCCCAGGTGCCCTCCGAGGAAGCTGCCACCGTCCTCGGCCTGGGCCCGGGTCCTGCAGCAGCGGAAGGGACAGGCAGGATGCGTGCAGGCAGCGGAGGAGAACCCACTGCTCCATGGCTGGAGGGCCCACACAGCCCAGACCCCTGGCTGGGAGGTGCGGTCCCACCTCAGGCCGGCCCCGTCTCCCTACGTGCAGTGGTGACCCCGCCCCTGCCCGTGGACAGCCCGTGGAGGAGGGGGCACAGTGGCAGCTCCAGGTGGAAGCCCCGCAGCCCCATGCCTGGACATCCCGGGCCCCTTGTTTCCATTTTCCGGCCTGCGTCTCTGCCCCCGGAGATCATCCAGGTCTCCCCTGTGTAGTGGGTGGAACGGCGTCCCCCCAAGACTCATGTCACCCCGAACCTTAGAATGTGCCCTAATTTGGAAATAAGGTCTTTGAGCTGCTCTCAGGGTAAAGAGTTGATCCTGGACCCTAAATCGGTGAGGGTTTCCTTGTAGAAGAAAGAAGAGGACAGAGAGGCCACATGCAAGTGGACAAAGGTCGGCTGCGGGCGCAGGGCACCGAGGGCCGCCGGAGGCCACCGCAAGGGCACAGGAAGGACTCCGGGCGGGCAGCCCTGCCTGCCGCATCCGGATTCGGACTTCTCCCCGGAGCAGAGAGCACGAGCGTCAGAGAGGAGCCGCGTGGGGGTCCTGGGCGGCCTCGGGGCTGGTGTCCCGTGGTGGGCCCAGTCGGGACGGGGACGCCTGAGGTTCTGACCCGCACCCGAGGGAAGCGCTCGCAGGGGTAAAGCGGGACAAGCGGGGACAGTGCGCGTGTCGGCGATGGTCCCGATGCCAGATTTCTGCGGGTGCCCCACAAGCACAGGGAGGGCTCAGGGAGGAGGAGGCTCTGTCCGGGTTGGGGGGACCCCGTTCCTGCTCGGCTCTCTTTGCCCGCCCCTCCCGAAAAAAGTGGATTCTGGTTCTGGTTCTGGGGGCGGGGGCTGGCTCCCCAAGAAGGACCTTCCTCTGCTCTCGGGTTTCTGGGGGGCTGGCTGTGCCCCCCCAGCCCGCTGATGATGCTGAAGGAAACGTCTGCGCCCATTTCCCTGAGGCTGCGCTGGCTTCAGGCTGGGGAGGTGATGGCCACTGTGGCAGAGGTCACCGAGGAGAAAGCCGTGCTCTCCGCCCACCCATGGCCAGACCACAGCCTGTGGCCTCCTTGGGCACCTGCTGCAAGAGGGATGAGGGGGCCCCGAGCAGCCCACAGGCCCCTGTGCACCCTAGGGGCGCGGGGAGGGCACCGGGCACACGCACCAGGTGAGCGTGGACGTCAGGCCAGCCAGCCGCACGGACTGTGACACCCCCTCGCCCCGGCGGCGGCCCCGGCTGGGAAGAGGGGGCTGGACCGGCTTGGAGCCCCGGGGACGGAACATGGGCAGGAAGCAGGTCAGCCTGGGGAGAGCAGGCTCCCGAGGACATGGGCCGCCCGCAGATGCCCGTGTGCTCAGGGAACACTCGCGCTTCCACGAGAACACGCTGTGTGCGGCGAGCAGAGCAACCCCGACCAGGGACGCGGCCCACGAGCGAGCGCGGCCTGCAGTGTTAGGGCTGCCCCTCTGGCCGCCCGGCGAGGCTCCCCCAAGGTCGCAGTTCTCTGCAGGGGCGCGCCACTGTGCCGGGCTGGGGTCCCCATGGAGGTGCCCGGCCTCGCGGGGCGGCGGCCTTCAGAGCCGCTGGTGACCCGCAGCCACATGCTCCCGTGACACCCACCCGCGCCTCAGCCAAGCCTGGGGAGCGGCAAGTGATGTGTGGGCTGGCGGCTGCAAGCTGAGGGCGGCTGGGGGGGGCGGCACCCACGCAGGTGCCTCACCTGTGGCTCCTGGACCCCGCAGCGGGGCCGTGAGGGGGCGGACAGAGGGACGCTCCACCCACCAACCCCTGAGATGAGACACTTCCTGGGGTGACATTGCCAAGGGCCCTGTGCGCCCCAGAGGACGCGCGCCCCTGTCTGCTGGAGCCTGGGCTGGGCAGCTCAGCACCCCGTTTTCCAGCCCCACGAGGCCTGGGGGCACGTGGCTCCAGGGAGGGCTGGAGGAAGCCAGGTGCCTGGGGGCCAGGTGGGTCACCTGCGGGAACCACACCTCAAGGGCAGCGAGCCCACGGGCGGGGGCGGGGGGGTAGCCGGAGGAAAGGGGCAGGGTCCCCTGGCAGGGGGAAGGACGCACTGTGGGGCAGACCTCCCAGGAGCAGGACCTGGGGCGGGGCCAGGCAGTGGTGCTGGGGGTGCAGCGGGGACCAGGTGCCCCCGTCTCGAGCAGTCGCAGCATGAGCTGTGGGGCACACCCCCACCCCCGCTCTGAGCCCCCCCCCGGGCGGGCCGCATTCTGGAGGCTGGGAGACCTGGGCCCTTGGGGCTGCAGCGTCCAGGACACGTCAGACGCCTCCCGGCCTCGGACCCACGCGTGGGGGCTCACCCGTGTCCCCGTCTGCCCGGCACCACCGACACCCGTGCCAGTGCCCGCAGGTGACCACCATCTCAGCTCTGCAGCCGCATAGGGCAGGCCCCTGCCGGCGGACTCAGGATCCCAGCAGGCGCCCCCGCACAGCCCCGCCGTCCCCGCAGGGGGACCCTCCGGGCACAGGTCCCACCTCACCCGCGACAGCGGGAGGGACCCTCAGGCTGGGCAGGTGAAGAAACCGCGGCCGGCCCACCCCGCGACCGCAGGGAGATGCCACGGGGCCCCGTGCCCACGGGAACGGGACCGGTGCACAGGCCTGGCCACGGGGTCCCGGGAGGGGAGCTCACGCGGGGCGACCGGGCTCCGAGGGCACGGGGCCTTGATGGGGCTGGGGAGCTGGTTGTAGGACCCCAGCTGCTCCCGGGAAGGGGCTCCCACGTCCACCACCACCCGTTCTGTTCCCACCGAGCCGTCTGCGCATTCATTCATTCGTTCACTCCCTCACTCATTCACCAGCTCGGCATCCGTCAGGGGGGACATGGAACGGCAAAGCCCTGAGTGTCCCATAAAAGTAGGCGGGAAGCAAAGCCAGTGGAGGAGGGGGCTGGCGCCTCAGGGGAGACCGGGGAGAAGCGAGGGCAAAGGCGCTGGGGCACGGTGGGCCTGAGTCACCACAAGCCCGGGGCTGACCCCGGGGTGAAACGGGCATGCAACTTGGAGCGCCAGCAGGGTCCCCCCGGCAGGCCCGGGGCTCCCTGGGCAGCAGGCCGCCCCATCGCACCCCAGGGGCGCCGAGACCTGTCCAAGCACCGAGACCTGTTTGCAGGCTCGAGGGTGAGGACACATCGGGGTGACCACCCGGGGCAGCTGTGTCGCTGGACGCAGGCAGACGGACAGGGAGACATGGGCCTCAGACACGGGCCCTGGCCTGCCCACCCCCTGGACGACACCCCGCCCGGCACCTGCCGTCCTCGTCCTGCCCCCCGACCCATCCCCATTCCCCGCCCCAGCCACGGCCTGACCTGGGACCACAGGGGGGCCAGTGCACCGGGCAAAGCCAGGGGAGGTCTCTGCAGGTCCCCAAAGGCGCCCAGGGAGCAGTGCTGGGTAGCGAGGCCTGCCATCCGCACCCCCACCGATGCCGAGGCCCTGTGTGCCCGGGAGGCCTGCAGCCACCCCAGGGACGCCCCCCCAACCTTGGGGGGCCTGGCTCCTCCCCCAGGTGAGTGGAGCTCTCCATGCCGCGCCTGCACACCACATGCCCTGCAGGGCCGGGGCCACGCAGATCTCCTCCCTCAGACCCAGAGCCAGGGTCATGGGGTGAGGGGCACCAGGGAACCAAGCAAGGCAGCCCCCCCACCCCCGGCACCTGGGCCCGGCGAAACCCAGGGGTGCCCGGGGGCACAGCCCTGCCCGTGATGACTCACCCGCCAGGGCCCCGGGCGCCTACTCGCTGGGGGGCCTCCCCCTAGAACCTGGGGTGGGGCAGGTGAGGGCCGCTCCGGTAAGCGCGGGGTGGAGGCCGCAGACCACGGCCGGTCCTGGGGGCCTGGAGACCCCACGCGAGGACGGGACCCCCGCCCACCCCCCAGGGCTCCGGACAGTCCAATCCCAAGGTCTGTTCCGTGGAGCCGGCGAAGGGCGGGCGGAGGAAGCCCAGCGCGTCCCCGTCCCCAGGGCCCTGCGTGTGTCCCCCCCCCACCCCGTCCCTAGCCCCGTGCCCACCTTGTCCCGGATGCCCTGGCGCATGGCCTCACGCTCTGCCTCCATCTTGGCGTACTTGGCCTTGCGCTCCTCCTCCTCCTGCCGCAGGGCCTCCTGGCGCTCCTCCTCCTTCTTGGCGGCATCGGGGTCCTTCTCCTCGTCACCCCCAAGCATCTTCCCCATGTCCTTTGTGGCTCCTGCGGACAGGAGGCCGCTCAGTCCCGCCAGATCCCGTTGGCTGCGCTGCCCAGGGAGGGCCCCCCCAGCCTCCCCCCCGCGGTCCTGGGGTGTCCTCCTGTGTCTCGGGGAGGGGGGAGGCGGTCTGGGCAGCAGGGGGCAGGGCTGCGCGCGTGTGCCCGGGAGCCCGGGCCGGAGTCTCGTCTGCAAGCCCAGGCGGTGCAGGCACTGGGGCCCCGGCTCTGAGCTCCGAGGCCGCGGGCGGCAGCACCAGGGCCCCAATTTCTCGGCGGCACCAGACGCCACTTTTGTCACGAGCTCCTGATTCATGGGCAACAAGCACGTCCGCCGCCGCCCTCCGTCCTTGGCCCACGGGACACACATGGAATTACAGCCTCGGGGCTCAGCCGGCACCCAGGGCTCCCGGCGCGCAGCGCGGGGAGGGGCGGCCAGCTGCTGGGGCACCCCCACCCTCAGCCCCTGCCCTGCGGGCGCGAGCCTCTACCCTATGACCCAAGGAGCCCACCCAAGCGCTGCCCCAGGTGAGCCGGTGGGGTGCACTTGGGAGCCCCAGAGACAGGCTGGGGGGGGGAGCTGCCGTCATGCCCCTGTCCCCAGCCTGCTCTGACGCCCATCGCCGCCCCGCCCCCCTTCTCCCCAAAACCAGGGCCCCATGTTGGGACCTGTGCCCCCATGTTCGCGGGAGCGCGGACCCCACCCTGCCCGGCCCACCCCCCAGCTCAGGGCGTGGCGGGGGTGTCCCGAACAGTGCTGGGAGGGGGTCAGGCGGGAACCCGCAGCACCCACGCAGAGCACCCCTGCCCAGACCCCTGCCCCAGCTCTGCCCCCGGGCCTGCCCCTTCCGTGCCCCGGCTAACATGACGGTCCATCCCCTCGCCCCCCCGCCGCCCCCACGCTCTGCAGAAGTCTCCAACCTCTTGGGGGGAGGCTCTGGTGTCCCCCTCAGGCACATGCACCTGCTGCTGTTCCGAGAGCTCACGTTCCAGAACGCTGTCCACCGCTCCGACCCGCTGGGCACCCTGCATGCTGGTCACTGGCATGGGTGCGCCCACCTGCGGTCCACCCTACACAGCAGGGACCATGCACACCTGCACGCTGCACAAGTGAGCGCTCATCTCCGGAAGTTCTCCTGGACATCGTCTTAGGGTCACAGAAGACACCCAGCTGGTCCCAGGGTGGGTGCACTCCGAGTAGCCCTCCACGGTCGCTGTGATGCGCGGTCAGCGTGGGGGTGAGGCTCCAAGGCAACCACACGCTTTATTTGGATGTTGTCACTTTTCCCACTAATGTCCCTTTCCTCTTCCAGGATCCCATCCCAGGAAGCACATTACATTTAGGTTAAAGTCAGTTTTTGAAAAGAGAAAAGTATCTTTCACCTTGAAACAAACCTACGGTGAGAATTATAAACTGTAACGGAAAACTGAAATTTTTCTAAATAAATAAAGTCACTTGTCACGTTCAGGGCCGGGGAGTTCCACACGCAGCCGCCCGCTCCCCGAAAGTGAGTCACAGGTCAGCGCAATCTCTGTCGCACCCCCAAGAGGTGAAAAGAAAATTGTGTGAAATCTGACAAGTGAAGGGCTCGTCTGCGGAAAAGCTCGGGCGGCCCGGCCCGGAGAGCCACGCGAGGCAGGGGCCGGCTGCGCGGAGGTGCAGGGCCCAGGCGGCTGGGGACTGCGTGACAGGCCAGGAGGCCGCGGCCGGGGACTGCGTGACAGGAAGCACCTGGCAGGGTGCTGCGGGCCGAGGCACGACCCCGGAGTCCCGTGGGGCGCCCGATAGGAACCGGGATAAAAACGAGAAAACAGGCGGCGTCAGGCGGCCTCATGCCTGCAGGCACCATCACCGGAGATGATGCTCCAATTCGTTGGTCGCGGGGTCTCGTCCGTGTCTGCCGGGACCAGCCGCCGGCTCCCGCTGAGCCCCGACACCCAGAACACCGCCTGGCACGCCTGGGTGCTCAGATACTGGCCAACAACCAACGCCCACATTTTAAAAGATACGCATGATGCTCGGCCACCAACACAGCAGGCAGGGTGGGGGCTCAGCCCCAAGGACCCCTGGCCCCTCCCAGGGCGGGGGGCCACGGGCAGCTTCGCGCCCTTCGTGGGGGAGCGTCCTGGAGCTCTACTGCATCTCGTAAGGAAAAAAAATGAGCCCCCCCCGGGGGGTGCTCAGCGGGTGAGCATCTGCCTTGGGCTCAGGGTGTGACCCTGGGGTCTCGGGATCGAGTCCCGCATCGGGGTCCCCGCAGGGAGCCTGCTTCTCCCTCTGCCTGTGTCTCTGCCTCTCTCTGTCTCTCTCATGAATAAATAAAATCTTTTAAAAATAAAAAAAGGGAATAAAATAAGTATTACAAAGGCACCAAGCTGTCCCCTGCCCACCGCCTCTTTCCCCGCTGACACGGTCCGTACCTATGATCGGTGACACCCAGGGAGAACCCACCACAGGGCATCCTGGACTAGCACAGATATGGGACGATGCTCCAGCCACAATGACTCCAAAAGCAGCAAATCCTCAGGATTGGCCCTAACCAAGAAAACCCCAGAACATGTGGGTAGAAACCATCTCCTCGGATGCCAGGCTTGGTCGACGCTGCCACTCCTGGTGGGCACGCTTCACACGGTGAAGGTGCCAGTGACACCAAGACTGGAGCCCGTTTGTGTGCGGTCCACGCCGTTCTCCCCGCAGAAACGCCAACAATCCATCCCCTTCTCCGTTTGGGCTTGGGGCCATGTTAACCCTCACGCGGCAGTGCCCACGTCGGCGACCCGACCCCCCGCCCAAGGGAAGTGCCCTCACCGTGCATCTGAGGTGTCCGGGGAGCTGCAGGCGGCACAAAGGTCATCAGAGGGGAGGCGTTCTCAAGCGAGACAGCGTGTGCCGGGGGCGCTGGGGAGGCACGCCCTCTCGGGGTCTGGGGAGAGGCGAGGTCGGCGCCGGGGCTCGCAGAGCGACAGTCATCAGCACGCTGTGAGCCCGCTGTCCTCAGGGTGCTCAGAGCAACGGGGGCACGCAGGGCCGCTGACTGGGCAAAGCGGCACACTTTACGCCGTGAATGTTTCATCACAATAAGAAAAGGGAAGCATAAACTTGAAACGACCTATAATCTTACATCTGAAAAAGAAACTCAGGCTGCAGAACTGACCTCAAGGCGCTGGCAGAAGGCGGTGGCGGGAAAGACACAGGTGGGACACCTGGGGAAGCAGGAGGAAACCCCACACCCGGCCTCGCGCGCAGGGGCTGGGTGGTCGCACCGAGTCGCCACCACCGTTGTGCGTCTGGAGCCAGAGCAGGCCTTGACCCAGCAGAGCCCAGGGCTCCGAGGCCGGCGGCGCCCCCAACACGCATGTTCCTGGGGCGGCAGGAGCGCGCGGCCACCTCCGGGGGAAGAACGAGGGGCGCAGAAGCCGGCGGTGGGCGTGGCCCACACGAGTGGGTGCACTGGGCCCCTTCAGGACTTGGTGCTCAGGCACCAGGGGTGGCAGGTCTGGGGCCACAACACTGGAAATGAGGAAAAATGCGCGGGAAAACGCTGCGGACCGAGAGGACCTTAGCGTGACCAAGTGATACGTGGTATCCGAATACGGCTGAAATCGTGAATGAAGCAGATTTTCTAAGACACGCCGTCAAAAGCTGAGAAGTGTGTCTAAGAATTCACAGATGGGCTCCTTCAAACATTCAAGAAACAGATAATTCTAATGATATTTAAACTGTTCTTGGAAAGGAGAGAAAAGAAGGAAATTCCTCAGGTTATTTTTGTGAAATCCGCATAAGGACGATGCCAGCAGCCGGCAGAGCGACCGTGGGCAGCCCCCACTTCCCCACTTCAGCAGTGCGACAGGCGACCGAGGGCGGGGGGAGTTCCAGAGGAAACAGCACTCGTGATGGGGGGGCCCTTTAGGGAAGGAGATAGGGTCCCGCGTCCAAGACCATTGCGCTCCTCAGGCCACACCGCGTGCTCTGCAGGCTCAGAGGCTTCCCCGCCCCAAGTCCCTGTGCCCCGCCCCAAGTCCCCGTGCCCCGCCCCCCGCGCTCACCCTGCCCCAAGTCCCCGTGCCCCGCCCCCTGCACCCGCCCCGCCCCCGTGCCCGCCCCGCCTTAAGTCCCCGTGCCCCGCCCCCCCGCACCTCTACCCCACCCTGGCCAAGGGCAGGCAGGTGCACCCAGCCCTCCTCCTCCTCCTCCTCTTCCTCCTCTTCCTTCTCCTCCTCCTCCTCCTCCTCCGCCTCCTCGGAGCGCCGCCCTGCCACCTCAGCCAGAAGTGGCGCCCTTGCTCAGGGTCTAGGTTCACAACAGCTTCACGCAGGCCTGACAGTCTGCCCATCACACGTTTGACACACGTGCACACCCACAAAACCATGGCCGCAGTCAAGCTGGTGGACACGCGCGTCTCCCCAAAGCATCCTCACCACAAGCTCCCCCACCCCCGAAGGCGAGGTGGGTGTACCTCGGTTGCCGGCGTAGGATGTTCGAGGTCCCCCCATGGCGCTGCAGCCACGCACACAACACCCGGCGGTTCCCCTTTCTTGCCGACACGCGGGCCCATCGCACGAACGGGCATGGGCCCCTCCCATCCGGGCAGGTGGTGTGTCCAGGGCACCTGCTACCACACGCTCCCCGCCCGGCCTGGACCCTGAGCTGCCTGCCGCCCACCTACAGGCTGTGCATCGGCGTCCGGGTCCACGTGGACTCGGGTCCATGGCCGTGAGTGTCCGCTCACTTCTCAACTGGCTGCTGGCCTTCCTGTTACCGTGGGCAAGAGGCCCACGTACATTCTGTACACACGTCCAGTTTTGTCTTAAAGATGCAGCTTCGGGTTTTCTTCTTCCTGTGTCCTTCACATCTGCTCTGAATTTTATTTCCTTTCTTATTTTTCTTTTTTTAAGATTTTATTTAGTCAAGAGAAAGAGGGAGCACGAGTGGGGGGGAGGGGCAGAGGAAGCCCGAGGTGGGACTCGATCCCAGGACCCCCGGATCCTGACCTGAGCGAAGGCAG